TAACATTTATTTGTCATTTCAAATAAAGATAATGGTAATTAAAAATGGGATTGTCTGCAAAGAAACTATTTATCTTTTATACATGGAAGTCATACCCATTAGATTTCAAATTGGATGGCTTGGGGTAAGTCAGTAAGTCTGCGAATATTTTTTAGAATTTGTGTCTATTGAATAACACTCTTACAACCACCCAGTTTGAAATTTAAAAAACAAAAATGATTGTGACTTCCATGTTCAAAAAATAAATAGTTTTTCTTTTTGTAAACAAACCCTTAAAAAATTAACATGAATGCTTTTTTTGACATATTAGGAATAAATATAGACTGCAGCTTGTGGGACATAAAGCCAAGCCAAAATCGCTTTATTTGGAGGAGAAAACGAAATATGTGGGGACAGTGAGCTTCCTCTACCACATTCATGTTTGCTAACTTGGATCCATTGTACAATAATTAGAAAATCTACCTAGGGAGCATATATATTTGGTAAAAATAGATATTATTTTATACCAGATTTTATACTATGAGGCTATTTACCTTCATTATAACAATGAAGTCACAATTGCTACTAGTCATTAGATGTCAAATTTGATGATTTGAGATGTAACACCAAGTTCAAAATTATCTTTTTTTTTTTTTTTGAACTTAGAGGTAAAACACAATCACAAACACCCGATATGAAATTTAAGTTACAAATGTAATTGTGACCTCCTGGTCAAAAAACACAAATGATCTTTTTGTATACTTTCTCATAAACAAATAGTCTTTTGTTTACTTTTCCATTTTATATGGCTGAACCATTCATCAAACCGACAATGAAATTAATGGATGACGTGTAGTGAATGCTATGTCGTACTTATATTGATTGGATTTTTAATAACAAATCCTAAGAGTAATGCCTTCTTGTCCTTCTCTGGCCCTTGTGATAACACAACCGCAAATGCCGCTGAGTTGGGGGCTCTACTCTAGGGTCTACTACGTCTCCCTTCATCCCTGAACAAGGTTATAAGAGAGGGGAATCATTAAATGTATGTAAAACTCTTTGAGAGTATAGGTGAGTATTAGAGATATTAAATTCAATCATGTGTATAGTGAAGCAAATGCTCCAACCAAAAATAGCATATGCGCGCCTGGCCTGGGCCGGTTCAGTCTTAAACCAACCCGGCTTAGGTCCATATAGTGCTAGCTTGACGAGGCCCAGCCACGACTGGCTCTAGGTCGGGCCTAATAGACTCAAAGAAGAAAAAGGACACATAAGGAGAAAAAAAGAACAAGACTGACCTTGGAATGGCCATAAGCCAAGTTTGGCCTTACATTTTGTGACTTAGGCCCTAGTTTCTTGAGGCCAGTCCAAGTTCCAACACCTAGATAACTCAGCAGGTAAGAATCGAACTATACCGTTGCAATTATCAGCACCTTAAAATTTAATCCCTAGCTCATATCATTTGAATTAGGGTGCATGAATCTTTATGTATTTTACTTCTGTAAATATGTGGTACAAGATGGATCAGTATCAGGCATCTTTTCATCAATCTGTGTGCAAGCACCCAATGCTAAGATCTCGGGCTAACATAGTCTCAAACCAACAACCAGTTCAAGAATAATAGATTAGTGTTTCAAACCAAAAATGCAACTGTTTGCCAACACAAACCAAAACCAACATGCACCTCAAAGCCACTTGGGTGTTCTTCGTGTCTGCCCCCCAGAAACTTAGTAATACATGCAGCAATGTTTCAGACGATTCTACCAATAGCACAGAGCAAATCAAGATACGAAAGCTTCTTATTCCACAACAACGAAAGCACTTTTTAATTCTTTTATATACTAGGGGATTCCATTTGGAAAAGAAGATGTTCCATACTAACGGATTCGGGTCCATAACCATGGGTTCCAATGCACATCTTGTAGCACTTACCAATGAAGCCCTATCAATTACAATTATAGACCCTAAAACAATTAGATCAGCTCTTCATAGACAAACTTGAAAGAAAAATAAAAGAAGAAAGAAAATACAAAGAAAGAAACCATTTTTCGAGCTTCTTTCTATTTCTTCTTTAAAGAATACACCACTCCCTTCAAATCCCATTTGTTCCACATATAAATCAATAAGGAATATATCATAAAGGATAAGCCTTTCATGAGTTCCCCGGCTCATCTATTTACATGAATCCTCCATCCAAAATCTACCTTAGATGGATTTTGGATCTTAAAATTTGGTTGAGAATCTCCATCATGGTCAACATAAATATATGATAACTTTTTATACTAAGAAATAGCATTTTTTAATGAATTTTTAGCACGCTCTATTTTAGGTTTTGAAGGTACCACCATCATCAAACATCCATCTTTGAGATGTATTTTGGATGTCCCATGGAATGCATGTGTGGTCCTGTGGTCCCCTGATGTGGGAAAGACTTTTCCTATCATAAATAACCATAAAATGACTTCGAAGCAAAGAAGGATACCAGGTACAAGCATTCAAACTCATACTTATATAGAAGTGGTCGAAAAAAGAACAAAAAAATTTGTCAAAATACAAAAATCATTCAAAATCATCAAAAGATTTTTCGCAAAATGATTCAAATCGCAAAAACTAAATTCAGAATACTCTAAATCTTCCCAAAAAAAAAAAAAACAACAGAAGATTTTTGACGACTTCTTGAATTTAGTCTATATTTGATTAAAACACTGAATCGCATTCTAATCCCAGAAGTTTTACTCACTTATCTGAACTATGCTGGGTAGAAGGATGGAAATGCATCAGGTAGTCGATCCAAAGTGGCAGTAATGGTGTCTGGATGCCACACTGAAACGCCTGCCACAAGTGTTATTGGCGTTATTTAGTTGATCTGAAAAATATGTTTTGTTAGCTTCTTTGGAAGCTATTTTTTACGCCCTTTTACGCGTGCACACATAAAAGAAATGCTGCCATTTTGTGAGTGAAAGAAAATCAAGAAATGCCATTTCTATTCCAAAATGCTGAAGTACCTCTTTTTTGTGGAGTTCAAAATGAAATCTGACAAAACATCTACAGCAGCCAATCAAGCTTTAAAATTTACTATTGGTGCTAAAACCAAATTGAACTGGACCAGCCCCCACTGCAATTCAACTGAAGTTCAGTTATCACTTATCAATTCTTCTTTAGTCATCAAAAGCAAGCATGCAAGAATATCAGGTAAACCTCTGGAGAATGAACCACTGCCAACAAGATGGGACTCAAATGGGTTGTTACTAGAGGAGGAAAAAGAGACTTACAGAGCACTCGAATAAATTTCGGTATTGCATGGCCAGCATATCACCATTGCTGTCCATGTGGAGATATGGATGCAGATGCATATAACCATACAGCTACTTCTATTGAGATGGTATGGATCAAATCTCTAATGGGTTTTCTTACATCAACATAGTTGTTTTCCTTTCTGGCAATCCTGATTGATTTCGCTAGTATAAGAAAATCAGCTGAAAAGGCAACTAGCTAATCTACTTTGGCATTCACTCAGCCCAAAAAGTAACTTTTGCTGTGACCATTCTCTTTGGTGATTAACTACAAGGGTCGGAGAAAAAAATTGAAGATCAACAAACACAAATTTTAGGTCAAAATCCATGAACAGCAGATTGAAAATTCTACATAATCAAGAGGCATCCTCTCTTTTGGATATCGTAGTTACCCAGTGCATTTTTTTTTTCAAGATTAGTGAGGGAAAATCATCAGTTTTCCATCAGTAGTGTATACTGATGGTTATACTGTTGTCCCACGCTAGGTTGGAAGACTAAAATATGTGCTTCCTGGATTTTAAGAATGAAAATCCTTGAATACCTCAATCACAGAAATTATTTAAAATAAAAGAGACAAAGGAAGAATTTCCAGATAGAAAATTATGCATCATCAGACAAATATTTTTTTAACTGAATCTTAAGTCATAATTTTCCCTACATAAAGCAGGAGTATCTTTTTCTGAAAGATACATTCAATTATATTATTGATTATTACTTTCAATATTTATGTTGTTTCCTAGTGAAACTTCTGTTAAAAAGAAGGAAATGATAAGTTCACTCAAGATTCAAAGTCCCAAGATCAACAAGAGATACATAACAGCTTACCAATAATACCAACATTAACATACTCAGTAAACTACATCGATGGCTATAAAATATCAATAATTGAGGCTATGATTCAATAGGTTCATTGAAAAACAGAACAAAGAAAACCAAATATCCTGAAAAGACAGTCAATAACATGTTCAAATGAAACCACCTGAATAACTTCCAGTGACTCCTCAAAACTTATAATTTTCATGTTTTTATAATTAACATCTAGGCCAGTATATATAGCATAGAACTAACTCCGTATTCATAATTAAAGACATAACAATATGAGGTTTAGATATCCACAAGACAAAAAATGTTACAATAAGAATTTGTAAGGATCCTTCTCTTGAATTTACAGATAGAATAAAATAAAAAACTTAAACTTCAAAATCTGGTGAGGTGGTCTTATGATAGCAAATTGATAAACATATGTTATTCTCCAATCGCTTGCTAAAACCATTGAAAATCTCCAATCCCGTGCTAAAACCATTGAAAACTATCACATATGCATCCCAATTGCAGATGTCAAGCCTATCCCATTCAAGAAGATAATTTACGACCACCAAACAAGAGGAAATGATGCAGTTTACAAAAATAACCCTCTTCTACAACCAATAGATCTGAAGAAATTCAAATTGCACAAATTCATATTCAATGTAACCCCCCATAAAGAGAATGATAAGCAAAAACATTGTGCAGGTAGGCAATATGCCTTGGCTCCATGTAGTCATTTCAATATGGAGATTGAGATATTTGGGTAATTTCCCCCTTCTGGGGGACCACAATCCCCTTCTATTACTTCCATTGAGGTCGACAAATAAATAACAAGAACCACAAGCTAAACTCACCAGATTTTCTTTAAAATGAAAGCCAACAAAGAAAGAAAAATACTAAAATTCAGCTCTCTTCATTCCACAAAAAAAACATTACAAATGTGCTTTTAAATGAAAAGATAAAAGAAAAATTCACTAATCCCTGAATTTCTGATCTGTTGGCTATCAAATAGTTTCCTTGTTACTAATTTCCATTATGTACAGTGCATTAGCAATATCAACATATACAAAAATACCCCAAAGAGAAAAGATCCTATTTCTCCATGAGAGAGAAAGAGAACATACATACTCAAAACACCAAAGAATCATCAACATAAAACCTCTCCTGCACCAAAAGCATAGTGAGAAGGGCGCTTGCCTTACTTCTTCCCCTCTCACTCCCCGAACCCACCAAAGTGGTGATCACAGCCGAGGAATTCTCGATCTCGCGGATTTCATCAATCACCTTCTCCCCCGCACTTTGAGCCAAATTCAATAGAGCAGAGGCTGCATTCTCTCTAGCTCTAATGGACCCAGTCTCCATCAAATCGACCAAAACTCGAATCCCCGAAACCTTCCTAAAGGCTTCTCCACTCTCATAGCAACCAGCCACTTGGGCCAACACGGCTGATGCATCCTCGATCAAACCATTAGAGTGAGAATTGATGAGTAGAGAGAAAAGAACTGGGACAATACCTTGTTCTACCAACTTGGGTCTATTGAGAGGGTAAAGAGAGAGAGCAAACAATGCTTTTAGAGAGTCTTTAATGGATCGGGGAGAGGTGGGGCGCCGAATTGCATTGAGGAGAGCAGAAGTGATATTCGGCTTATCACCAATAATGGGCCTATAGGCCTCGGTGAGGAGTATACTATGGATAGTTGCAGCTCCATTTTGGAGAGAGAAAGGGGAGAGTGGATGTGAGAGAAGGTGGGTTAAGGCGTCGAGGAAACCATGAGCAGAGAGAAGTTGGGTTCGATTTTCAGGGAGGATGGAGAGATTGAGGAGAGTGGTAATGGCGTTGAGTTGCGTTGTGGGGTTTGGAGAGTAGAGAGCGGACACCAGAAAAGGGATGGCCCCTGCCTCTGCAATTAGGAGCCGGCTATGGTCGTCATGTTTCGAGAGGAGACGAAGCTCTGCAATGGTCTCCGATTGGGTCTCATCTGATGGGCGGTTGCTTAGCTTCTTCACCAGGGACTGCACCGTCCAGCGCTTCACTTCCATATCCCCTCTCTCTCTCTCTCTTCTCTTCTCTTCTTTTGTCCAGAGCTCCTTCTCTCTCTCTCTCTAGAACCAGAAGGCCTCTACAAGAAAATGAATTTTTGCAAAGAGACCTATGTAAGAAGAATATGATATCTATCTCTCTCCTCGAGAAGAGGAGGCCCCTGTAACAAAACTGAATCAGAATCTCTCTCTCTAGAATCCAGGAGACCTGTCAAAACCCCCAAAAATCTGATCCTCTTTCTCTCTGCAAAACCAACGAAAACTCTGAAAACCTAAGGTCCTCTCGCTCTCTCTTCGTGAATTGGATCCTGTTTCTCTTTTCAAGAAAGGAAGGAAAACTTTTACCCAGAAATCTGAAACTTTGAGCTTCTATCTCTACGAAACTTTGATTCTCTTTCTCTCGGCAACAATGGGTATATCTCGATCCAGAAATCTGAAACTTAAACCACGAAACCACGAAAAGGACCCCCAACCCCAACACCACCAAAAACCTGGATATTTGACCAAAACATGTATTTTAATCACTTACCTTGTTAATATATCATAATAATAAATTAATTTTTCGCCTAATAAAAATTAAAATAATGTGACCTTTTCTAAATAAATTGAAAATAGAAACCAATCTAAAGAAAAATGGTTAGAAATGGCTGCAGTCCTCGAAATAAGTAAATCTTCAGCTCCTTACTCATCCAAAATTGCAAGGCAAGTATTGGAAAAACTTTTAAATTAATCATCTCAATTTAAGTTGTGAAAAAAAAAATAAGATTTTTAAGCAACAAAAATAACATATATTATAATAAATTATCTACCTAATTTATTTTACTTTAAAAATAAGTGTCCGCAATATCATACGGCAAGATCATACTATTTTTTGAGTTTTAAACTTTATTATTCGTATTAAAAATTGATTTTAGAAATCCAAAGCGAAATTTAAAGTAAAAACTAATTTTCTTAACTTTGTTATACTCTGCGTACAAAGGCAATCACTAGTTTATAGAGAATGTAAGAGACAATCATTATACAGCAAACAAGTATGGACCTGGTTCTATGCTTCAAAGCCCGCATATGTAATAATGCGGGCATGTTAATAAATCTATTTTTGAGATGGATTTTTGTCTTAAATTTTAAGGATATTTAATCTCTAATATGGAGATCACGAATATGAACAAATAAATAAATTTGAAAAATTAAAAATAATAAATTTAGTAAAAAAATATTTGGACCGTTAGTTTCTATTGTTTTTAGATGAAACACCTACTTGCATCTATCTTTAAGATAGATGCTTTACACTTTTTGGACCGCATATATAGTTATTCGATCCAACCTACATGAGACAATTTTCTAATAAGCATTTTATAGGGTTACTTAGATCGATCCAACCTGCATGAGACAATTTTCTAATAAATATTTTATAGAGTTACTTAGACTTTGCTCCTTGCCAGCACTCCAGTTATGTAAAAAATTTTAAAAAAGAACTCAACTCTTGAAATTAATATAGAAATATTAATCTTGTTATTTTTATGATGATTTCTAAATATTTCTTGTCGCATGTCATATTTTCTTTTTTTATTATATTTTTTTGGAATATCTCTACCTATAAATTAATTTTTCTAAACCTATGTTTTATGGTTTTCATCTTATTTGAATTTTTATTATCGTTTTCAATTTAGTACGAATTTTAAAATTTTTATTTAAAACTTTTATTTCTTTTTGAAAATTCTCAATCAAGCTATTGACCATTATCTCTGTACTCACAAGATTATTTAGAATCAAACTTTGTTTTTTAAATAGCTTTAATGGGATTTTTTAAGTTTTTAGTTTTATTAGGGATGAAATAACATAAGTACATTTCTCAAAGGAAAACACGACTGTTTTGTCAAACGGTTGATTTTTTAAAAGATAAAAATAATTAGGAGTGCTTTGTTGGAGAAATGGGCAATTTTCATCTGTCTCACGCGTCAAAAAGGATGGTGGGCAGACATTTAATAAAGTTGGTGATTAGTAATGGCCTCAGCACCAACGTAATATAATCACAAACTTAGTCCACCAATAATAGAGAGAGAGAAAGAGGGGGAGCACTAGCGATGGAAACCATGTAGAGAGAGAAAGACACAGGTAGAGATAATAAATTTAATTGGTCTAGTTATATGTGGCGTCGACTCAATTCAACATATGTTAGGACGTGCGAGTTAGTTCAAATAGAAAAATTGAAAATGACAAAGATTAAACTTAAAAGGACATAGTTGAAAGTAATTTGAAAAGATATAAGGACTTATGACCTCACTAAAAATATGACTTAAATAGAGTAAAATGGAAGACCAGGATTCATGTAGAGACCTCAATTAATTGAGAAAAAATTATGATGATGATGATGATGTTTTAAGATAAAAGTGATGAATTTTATTTGGGTGAGCATTATAAGAAGGAAAAAGTTTACATAATAGCAAGGCTCTAAACAATCAAATTTAAGAGTACCTCAAAAAATTACTAGAAGAAGTTGGTTCGATGCTCAATAACTTTCAAATCAATCACCTCAACTTCAAGATTTATAGGCGTCAAAACAAATAGATTTGAAGTCTTGGAAATAGTGCATCTTGTAATGCATTTTTTAAACCATCACTTTTTAAGATTTTTAACTGTTCATAGATATGTTCAATCTACACTAATTTTTAAACTTTTAATTTTATAATTAGAGATGAAAACAAATTTTCAAAACATCATAAAAATTTTCAGTAGTAAAACAACATCTTTCAACACTATTTGAAGGTGCGACTCTGATTGTTTAGAGCATCACCATTATACAAACAACACCGTTATAGGAAACTAGAATTCAAATTAAGTAAGCCTAAAGAGTGTTGTAAAAATGCGCTATTCAAGAAAATAGAAGAAATAACAAAGTTGCATGATTTGATAATTAGATTTTGAGCGTAAGAATAACTCAATATGGACACATTAAGAGTACTACAGCGTGATAAATTTCTTTCGGTGAGTACATTAATTAGACAAAGTAAGCATTCCTAAAAAGAAAAAAGTTTATCTAAGAGTGAGGCTCTAAACAATCAAACTAAAACACACCTCAAATATTCACTAGGAGAGGTTGTTTCAATGCTCAAAAACCCTCAATTCAATCATCTTAACCTCAAGATGTATATACATGAGAAAAAATAGATGAGGAGTTAGTTTTTTTGGGTAATACATTAGGGAAGATAGTCCCCTACCCATTTTTTATTTTTTGAAAGTGTTAGTGTTAGGTTTATGTGGCATTTAAAAGCCTTAAGAGAGATTATATAAACATTTGAATAAATGAATCATAAACTCAATAAGAGTGTGGTACTCTTGTGGTCGATACTCAGCAAATGCAATTTGCTAATACTCGAACTAGGTTTGACATGTTAGGTCAGCCAAGTTGGAAAACCCAAGGTACCTAGGCATAGAAATATAACCGATGAGGGTTTAGCGGGTTAATCCTTGATGAGGTCAGAGTATGCTTGGATGAGAGTCGAGGGACTGTGTGACCCTTGTGTGTGATGAATAGTCTATAGAGACAAGACTAAAACCTCATCGTTGTATCATCACACGACATATATATAGATAGTCGTACTGATATAGTAATTCACTATTGAGGATTAAGCGCGTACACGCACGAAAGATTACCCTTATGCACCATAGAGTCATGGTTGCATTATGATTTGGTGAATCATGGTTTGTCTTTAGGAAAGAACCTGAAATCCACATACGGAGATTGCGCCCCTTAACCTATTGATTGATTTTTGTGGTCATGAGCCCTTGGAGTAGACTGTGAGTCATAAGAACTGTTGGGTCAGTTTGAAAACGCTAATGTAGATAATGGTCCATAGTTGAAGGCGGAGTGCCGAGTGCTAATGTACATTAATTAAATTCTAGACCTATTCGAATCTGATTCTCATCAAAATTAATTTAATTTATTTTATTTTATGTTATTTGACTTTTAGAATGTTTATTTGAATTTTTGTAAATCTACTGATATTTTAATTTTGTCATTTGGATTTATAAATCAAGAGAAATTCAATATCTAAAATTTTAAATAAACTAAGAGATTTAAAAATGCAAAAAATAAAAAATAACTTTTCTAAAAATATGTGAAACCCTGCATAATTATTGGAGCTCCATTTAATCATGTCGACAAGTGGGTGGGGCTCATGAGTGGCTACCAAAGGAAGGCATGCCCCACCAATAGGGGATGCTTCTTCTTACTAATTGTTGTGAGTTGTGACATCTATCTCATACTAGTTGGCTTTCCTTAGCATTAAAGGAATGAAATATTTGGTTTTAGAAAACTTGAGAATCAAGAAGGTTTTGATTGTAACATAATGAATGAATATTTACTAATAGAGAAAGTAAAAACATATTCTTTATTTAATTATTTGATGGGAGTAGATTTAAGAAGTGGATGATAAGGTTCTAGCATCTTCCTTAACATCTTGATAGTGGATGTAGGGAATGGATGACTCATATCTCTCACCCCACAAGTCTCTTTAGATCGATGGTCAAGATTTGCTCTTACAATTTTATGGCAAATCTCAATACATAAAAAAATTTATAAAATAGATTATTCTTCTCCCATAATCTCTATACTGATTTTCTATTCTCTCCCTTAGATTATCTCTATCTCTCTATGTCTCTTTAGTGGGGCATGTCCCACCTAAGTTACATCTCTCTCTCTCTCTCTCTCTCTAAGACAACAAAGGGGGCACGCCCCAACCTAACCCACTATCTCTCAATTGGGTGACACGCTTAGGCTAGGTTAAGCTGGTCCTTCTCTCACGGGTTCTAAATCATGTTAGGTTGGTTTGTGATTTTGGGTAGGAAATGGATCATCCCTTAACTGATAGTTTTTTTTTCTCATCTCTTTGATTTTTATCTCTCATAAAGGTCAAATCAATGGGTTTGGATTAAACTAAAGTATTGAGATTTTAGGTGGGGTGGTTCTAAATCAAGATCCATGTGCATTGATTGAGTTATATCATTAGAAGGGGAAATCTATAGACTGATGAAAGATCACGAGCACCATCAGAAAGAAGAGACTCGGCATGGGATGTACTAAACTCAGTTGAGGTAATCTTTGACGATTTTACTCTTTGAAGTTCTATTTGTGTTATGTTCTTTTTTTTCCATAAAACAAAGAGTCTAGGTTTTTCATTATTATATAAAATCTTTGTTTTAGATGGTAGCAAGTGAGATCCTATATTTCTTTATTTATTTGTTTCAAGTGAAATTTAATTGTAGTTGGACATTATGAGTGATCTTACCAATGAAAGAAATAAAAAATTAAAATAAATATATACACCATGCATTATCAAATAGTCCATCTTTCAGTTAGTGGGGCGGCGTCAGTAAAAATGAAACCCACAATATAGAAACTACGGTGCTACCACCACGACCCAGCCCCTTTTCGGTAAAGCTATCTTTGTCTTTATTCATTTTCCAAACTCATTGACAAGGAAAATAAAAAGTATCAACAAAAAGGGCCAA